GCAGAAATTGGATGAGCCCTGAAAGGTCAGGCCTGGTATCGAATCGGATCGGGTCGGGATATGGAAGATGGAAATCGTTGCACACAGGTTTCCCCTCTTATTGTTATTATCTCCACCCCCTCCCCTTATGTAATTTTTAACAGAAAAAAAGAAAGAGAAGAATTTTTGACCGATTTGTCTCGAGAGTTTCCAGATAGGAGAGAGATTATTTAACAGGAAAGTTATCCTATGTGGAATTCATTTGATTCGGTATACCGCGAAGGTGGTGAGCCGGATCGTGGAAAATCCAGGTAGTTGGTGCGCGGCAACTGCAACTACTATCCCGATCTCGGCCCTGTTCATCCTATCGACCCGGGCAGGTTGTAATCCGAAGGACGACCGTTTCCAAACACGGTGGACGGAAAATTGGATGAGCCTCGGACATGTGGCGTGGCTGGGAATTATTCAAGAAGCGGCCGGTTACTGTGAACTGTTCCCGGTATATTTTCTCATTCCAAATAATCGAGCGTATTCGACATGCTCGGCGCGAATATATCGTCGCGATTCCTTCGAATAGAAATATAAAAAGAAAAAAAAAAACACAAATCCATGATATCTCGAGTATATCTTCCACGGAATTTTTTTCAATCAAGCGTAGAACGAGAGGAAAAAGGTGGATCGGAGGAATCGTTCGAATTTTCCCTCGAGCATGATGGAAAAGGAAAGGGGAGAAAAAAAAAACGGATCGCGAACACTTGAGCGACTCCTCCTCGATCGGTTCATTAGCCTTCGTCGATCTTAACCGCGGTTTTTGTACGTACCAGAAGCTGGGAGTTTTTGGGGAAAGCGAGAGCTCTTGGTCGCCGCGAGGGACTTTCCAACAGGCCGGTCGCCTCCTCGTTCGTTTCCGTGAAATCGTCCTTGTCGTCCTCGAGCCTCTGCGCCAGACACGGCGACAGGGAAACGAGGGCGAGGAACACCACCGAGGACAACCTCGTCCCAGTCATCCCGTTGCGGCGCGGCAGTTCTCCAGGCCCCCCGAGCGATTCGTTCGTTCTGTCGACGAGCTCGAACGGACCGACTGGTTGTAGATCTCGACGCGAGAGAGTCGAGCATTCGACCACCTTCGAAAACTCGAACGTATGGATGGGATGGTACCGTTTTGTATCTCGGGTACAACGAATGACGAGTGTAAATATTGATCGAGAGGTGGAGGTAAGTGGCCCCAGTGTGCTCGTCCATTCGTTCGATTCGCACAGGACGAATGTTAATCCGACGAGAACACTTTGGTAACGGGACTGTTGGTTAACGAGCGATTCGGGTGCTCTTCTCGTCCAAGCAAATCGTTTTGAAATTTCGCATTCTTCTCCTCCTTCTCGTCCACTTTTCGAAGATTCGAGAGGAGGCTCGAAGGAGGAGGCTCGAAAGTGCGCGAAGAGGAGGAGAAAAAGGAAGATTACAGGGAGTAGAGAGACAGAGGTCGCGAGCGGAGCGGATAAATTCAATCGATATTTTGGCTAGATTTATTTCGATCGCTTTCTCCTTCGCGCGAAAATCGCGCGCGGAGAATTTCTGGGTTTCTCTCGAGATTTTTAAGGCGGTTAAACTTACTGCTCCGCGAGTGAGTACATTTTCAACGATGAAGAAACTTTTGGGGCTGCGCTTAAATCAACGGCCATCCGCGCAATAAAACCCACACGAAAGTTCCGACCTGGTCTAGATTCCTTCGATTCACCGGAAGAGGGGGAGGAGTTGGTGGAACAAGGAGATCCGGTGAAATTTTAGAAAAAGGTTTCGTGATGTATGTGTGTGTATATATATATATATATATCCAAGTAACTTCAAATGATTCTTGGTCGAATCGAACAGTGGAGCTACGATCTTCCGTCATTAAATCGAATCGCAACCCCTTTCCAACTCCGTAAATTCATCCTCCGTTACATATACACGAATCTTTTTCCTCGTGAAACGTAACCACGTGAACCGAACGCATACCCCTGCCTTTTATCTATCTGGGTTAAACGGTATCCATTTGTCCTGCTCCTTATCCGGCTGGCCGAGACGTCCGATCCGGAAATCGAAAGCTCGTTCCTCGTCGTTCTCTCCTCGTCGACCGAGAGAGAGAGAGAGAGAGAGAGAGAGAGAGAGAGAGAGAGAGAGAGAGAGAGAGNNGGCGGTTGGAAACGGAGGTTGCCGAGTTGTACGAACTGCGATTAAATCGCTGGATCGCCAGTCTCGTCGATGTTTCATATACGCTCGGATGCTGGACGTGTTTCGAACGTTGTTCGCCAATTTTGTAATTTGTAATTTAACGAAGGTATGAAGTGCATTTTGCATCGAATCGACGAACACAAGATAATACAAATTTCGTACGAAAATATTTTTCGAGATTTCTTTTAGAGAATTTTAGAGTTTAGAGTTTAAAGTGGAAATTGTATCTCGAAACATAGAGGGAACGATAGTCGTGAAATTACGCGCGAAATACACAGATAGAGAAGGGGGAGTTTTTTTTCCAACTTTTCCTCTAGGGTCAGTTTCCTGTGCCGAAACCGTTCTCGAAACTTTATCCCGTTGCAATGCTAATTAATCCGAATGGCTATCGACTTGTAAATGGCGCGGCTCGACGAGTTTTACCTTTCGAGCGGGAAAGAAAACTCCTGAAACAAAGGAAACGCGTCAACCGAGTTTTCCTCGACTGGTTAATATATGGAGAGCGGGGGAGAGGATTTGGAATTTTAGTTAAGGTTAATATATGGGCAGAGTTCTCGAAATTTTTCAACTAAAAAGAAAAAAAAACACCCTATATACTATAACTCAAATATACTACAATTTTTTTTTTTTTTTTTTTTTTTCCCCCTCCTCCTCCAAGCTTGTCTCAACTTTCTCCACGGTGAAATTTATTGCTTCGTAGCTTGCCCGATTGCTCGACACTATTTATCGTTTTCCATTCTCTGACCGCGTCTGACCTCTCTTTTTCCCCTGCGTTACGACCGCCCCGTTCGAATCGAAAGCGAGGATCTTTCGAGGAGCGATGTCCTTCCTCTCCGTTCCCTCCCTTCCGTTCAAAGATCGGAGAAAAGTGCGAAAAATTCGAAAATCTTTTGGACGAAACCGGTTCGGTATGTCGTCCAAATAACAATGCGTTCGTTAAACCGAAATGCCGGTTGACGAGCTCGATTCCACGCATCGCGAATTATCGCCAATTAACCGTGTACACCGAGCGTGGAACGCGGAGCGAGTTTGGAGATAAAAAAGAAAAGGAAGAGAAAAAAAGAGAACAGAGACTGGAACAGGAGTGGGGAGAGGGGGAGGATAGTCCTGCAAGAGCTCAAAGGTTTCGGCCTCGGTGGCGTTGTAACGATGCGGAAGTAAAATCGTATATTGTCGGCTCGTGTTAATTACCACGAATGGCTTTGCCCTGGAAAAACCGTCCTCTTCCTTCTACCTCCCCTCCCTCCCTTTTCTTCTCCCTCTCTCTCTCTCCACCGGTTTCTCTCTCGGTCACCAGCGTCACGGGCCATTTTTTTTTCCTTTCCCCTCCCCTGCCCCGCTCTCTCTACACCCTCTATAAATTTCAACCGGAGTATTTTCTCTTTACGTGTACCTGTTATTGAACGAGAGAACTGCCAATAACGGCGGATAACTGCGTCACGTTTCGCCACGCGAACTCCCCCTCCCCCTCTTTCTTCCTCTCGATCCCTGCTAGACCCGAGGCTCTCCACCCGCCGCCATTCGCGCGCCCTTTTCTTCCCTTGATATTTCTAATATCGTACGACATCGGCGCACATAAATTACTCCCCGGCTTTCGATACAGTGTTTCGTTTCAGCCGCAACCCTCCTCCTCTTCCTCCTTCTCTTCCTCCCCGCCATTTTCCATTTTCCATCCTCCCCCGACGAGTTAACGCGTACGACGACCACTGCTGACTGGAAAGAGGGCTTCTTTTCTGGCAGGAAAAAGAGTATTCGTTTGTCTCATTTCACGGAGTGTAATATCGAAAATCCGAAATTACGAAACGAAACTTTTAATCGTTGATTAAATCGATTGGCTAGGAAAATTGGTTGACGGAAAAATGTTTTGGATTTGGGCGAGAGGGAAGGGAAGGGATAAAGTTGGAGCGTAGAGCGGAGTCGAGTTTATTGTTCCATCGATCGAATATTATTCGAAACAGCGTATTAGCCGAATCGTTGGTGGACCTCGGTGAAGTAATCCAGGGGGCTCTCCTCGCATTCGGGAAATATAGTATCGCAGGAGTCGATCCCTCGTCGGCCCATAATTTCAGCGGCGTGATACACTCGATCAAAGTCGGTCCTCAAGGCCTCGGAGGTGGTCGACGGTCTGAAAAGCGACGGGAAAATTAATCGATCGCCTCGAGTTATTTAAATTTACACAATAATCCCCCAAATGAATTTCGTCGAAAATTAAATCGACCGTTTCGTTTACACACCACTGTTGAATAATAGTTGTTCGTTGAATATATATACACTCGATTGCCAATTACGCATAGATACTTCTATACACGAATTAGAAACTAGACCAATTGGAAATTATTAGAATCGATAAGAAAAAATTCAATTAAAGATATCACGTGATACGTATTTCATCGAAAAAAATTAATATTCCCCGCTCCGACGTTCCTAAAAGCTGGAACGAAATCGAGAATAATCTGAGGATAATTTAATATTCTCCATATAATGTAATCAGATCGGCGAAAGGAGAGTCGAGACGAGCAAGCGATCGCACGGGTTCGATGGGTTCATCGCCCGTTCAGAGGATCGGTCGGATACTCACGTGAGGAGAAGATGGACGAGCTGGGAGGCGAGGCCGTGAACTCCGTCGAAAGGCGACGCGGAAGCCTCGCAGATCGCCCTCAAAAGGCACGCTTTCCCCGACCGCGAGTCACCGAGGGCCGACTCGAGGATCTCGTAAATTTCCCATCTGGTGAGGGCGCGCGCCACACCTATCAATACAAAATAGCGGATGAGCGGATGAGAGATGGGACGATTAACGGGGTCGAGGGCGAAGAGAGAACGTAGGTTGCGCTCGTACACACGGGACACGCAACAAAAAGATAGGCTTGTTAATATGTAAAGGAGGAAGATCCGCTTCTTATACAGGCCGTGTCGAGGCAGGTTGATTCACCGGTTCTGAGTTGGGTGATTTCGAGAAATCAGTCGGGAGGTAGGATCTTTCGATCAACCTCGAAGCAACTCGAGTAAAACGAAGATTCGTGTTAAGATTAAGATTGAAGTTGAATCATAAGAATTCGAAACTTGAAAAAAAATGGAGGAGCGATGAGGAGGAATGAACCTCGACATAACGCAGGTCGAAAATTTACAAAGCTCATATTAAGATTCTAATTTTGAAATTTAAAGAAGCTGTTAAATAAGCTGTTGAATCGTGAGAATTCGAAACTCGCGGGACTTGAGAAAAAAAAAAAAATAGCGATGATCTCCGAGGGGGGAAGAATTCGAGAAAAGAAAGTATTAAAACAGGGGTTG